CCCCTATTCCTTGCTAAAATTTCTTAGTATATCGTTAGTAACAGTCATTCTGCCCCTTTTCCTTGAATTCCTAGTAAAATCTTTGTAATAAATCCCCCACCCCTCCTCCCCGTCTAAAATTCCTGGACAAGCCCATGAATACCAATCTTTAGTTTTGGCGTAATGTTTTCTTTATTTAACGGTTGCACATGARAAGACGTGTGAATATGAATACTACTTTAACAAGGAATTCTATTCTAAGGAGAATGACATGTGGTCTGAAATGGGAAAACACTACACCCAAGGTAAAGATGTCTATTCCTGTCTTATTCTACTCACATATGAGGTGTGTCTCTTTGTCCACAAGAATATCGTTCCCAGCCTCCAAGATGAGCAGCACATTTATGTAACGCATCACAGTAGTTCAGCGGTAACATGTACATCATTAGCATCATTAATGAACTTAACCAGATGAATAGTGTTTGTTGTAATGCCCACCACAGATCGTAATAAATATAGTGTTGCTAAAATAAAATACAATAAATAACATTAATAAATATTCCTCGCCTGCCGAAACTTAGAACTAGATACTTTTATTTCCTAAAAATATTTGCAGCCACAAGGCTGAATTGCGAAAGGACTCRCAAAATATGAAAAATATATAGGGAGGAGTTTGTGCAGACTGTGTTGGTGGTTACTAACGACTTCACTGAACACAGTTTGGCTGCTTGCTTCTCTTCTTTCAAAGAGCGTTGACAGTCCTGAGACTTCTAGAGCCCTGATATAGGGTATATCGGGATGGATTAATCGTAACATGGCTGCCTCATGAGAAAGATCTTTAATACATGTTGACATACCTCAGAAAATCTCATAGGAATAAACCCAACAAAATACGCTGAAACCAAAGACTGGAACAAGACTTGCTTTACTCTCCAGTTAAAATCTGTGCGAAGGCATTCAGCTTCATACCGTACTGCATCAGGTGGAAGGTTACATGGGGTTTCCAGCAGCGTTCTGTCCTTGGACTCCACATTGTGTAGTGCTTTTCGGTCCATATTCTTGTTTATTAACGGGTCCATTTGATGTAGCAGCTCAATGTGAGGGCTTAATTTAAACATTACTTTGTTGCCTTGTGGGTCCAGAGTAAATCCAAACACACACAGATACATTATCACACTGAAATTAGAATCAAAACACCCATGTCCTATGTAAATAATAAATATCTTGTTACAGGAAAGCTGCATTTTTTTGACATATAAGACAAGAGTTTTAAATATCATTAATTTTAAAACACACAACACTCAAGCCACATWTTTTGCCAAGCCAGGGAGGAAAACCAGAGAACCCAAAGAATTATACTTGTGGCAAGGGAGGGGACAACAAATTGAACGAACTGAACTCGCACATATAGCATGAAGCCAGGAATCGAACTCACGACCTCTGACTATAACTATGCAGCAGTGAGAGACAGTGCCATAGCAGCACTTGCCACCAATGCCACTYATATGTCAAAGTGAAAAAGGGAGTTTTTCATAGGATAAAAAATGTGTTATATACAAATATATACCATAAAAAATGATTAATGCATGGGTATATGTTATGTTATACTCACGGGTAAACCAASAAGAGGTAGTTTGGAATAGCATTATGCTGAAACAGTTTCCATAGCAACCAGACTGATATTATGGAGAAGAAAGAAACTAATACCATTCTTAACAGCAAAACACTGACATATTTGATATTGTAAAGCACTTCTGAAGCCAGAAGCTGAGAAAAGAGGAAAAACAAAAATTATTTAGATTATTTAAAAACTGTATTTTTACATTGATACTAGGATAAAACACATTCAAAATAATGTATAGAGCTTTTAAGTTGTGGCATATTTCCAGGTGCAATAGCTCACAAATGTGATCATGAAATAAAGCGAAAAATGTTATCAATAATTGTTCAAACTTTCATCTGGGCAATAAATCCTGTCATGAAGTAAATTAAAGTAAGGAAAATCTTTGAATACTGTATGTACTGATTTTTCTTTGCAAGGATTGGGAAGTCTTTTTTCTATGCTTAAATGCTCTATTATTATTCTAGAAAAAATAAATTCCTTTCAAATTGATAAATGAAATTTATGTGTAGATGATAGTGGTCGTACAGATAGATGGAAAGGAAGCAAGGAAGGATGACAGGGGTGTGGATAAAATAAATAGATGGGATAGAGTAAATTAATTAGGGAGGAGATGACAAAAAAAATATGGTTACATCATTTACTGGCCAGGAAGTCTGTATAGAGAAGAACTGTGCCCATAGTCTTTAACATACAGGACCGATGCCATAAGGCCAAGATCCATTTCCTAGGTTGAGGACACAGTTTTTTCCTATGAGGACCAACTTTATGGATGGTAACTAACTTTTTTTAACATTT